TGTCAAATAGGTTTTTAGTCTTTTACTGAGAACTATGCCCAGAAAAAATAATCTAAGATGAAATGCTATAGGGCTCAGTGTAAACTTGTATTTTATATGATGTATCTCATTTTTCTCGTAAAAGTTTTCTTTAATCAAAATCAGTTCTTGATAAGTTTTTTTTTAGAAACTATCTATTAAATCACTATCTTTCTTATAAATTTGAAAATACGTGATTCGCTAAAAATATATCCGAATTTTCATACTTACCCTATTTTCTATTGAAACGAATGCTTTCTTGAGGAGCACGATTTCAGAAAAATCAATGATATTGAAAGCATGGTAAGAAAATAAAAAGATCGCAAAATTCAAAAAATTCATCATTTACCAAAATTATGTGAACAAGCATCTGTTTCTAAGGGTAGCTAATTTCTAGATGAATTATCATCAGAGATTTTCATTCAAATAACCAACCTTTTGTTTTTTTTTTGAAAAGATACAATATTCTTACCTCATCTCATTACCTATAGATTGAAGTACGCATACACATCGTACGAAAATAAAATGGATTGGTTTATACCGTTTTGACTGATTCATTATTCCTCTTTTCCCTACATAATATTATCGTTCTCCTGTTTTTTTTATTTTGCTGTTCAGCTGCATGTACACGTGGAATAAAATTATGCCTAACATGTTTTCGAATCGTTTACCAATTAAGTTATTTTATGAATTATAATCTTACCTTTCCTATTGTCATATTATACGAGCATTTCATTCGATAAATAATTATTAAATGATGTTTTCATTTCATTAGTTATGAGAACTATTTATTGGATTTATCTGCATTAGACATATTAAAAGATGAAATGGATCTTGTTTGTTCATTTCTACAATCCGAAGAAATTGTTGCATTGAAATTCGGTAAAATCTAATTTTAATATTGTCGATCGATTTCTATTGAGTTTTTCAAATAGAAAACCGTTTAATCGTATTCGTTCACTTTGGATTGATGATACAATCATAGTTGATGAGTTTTTTTATATCAAGGCTGGCATTAATTATACATTATAATGAACTTATTTCAATTTTTTCGATTATCCAGTTACTTATTCGACTCACTTTCACAGTTTTTTACATCTTTGAGGAAAAAATGTCGTCGATTATCGAAAAAGATACCAACCCACTTGACATTTCTGCAAATGTATTTTGACTCTACTAATGAGATAGATCCATTGGTTCGTGTCAATATACATCACTTAAAATCGCTTGGTGTCAATATTCAATGCTAACTAAATAATATCGATCAATTTAAGTTGCTTTTTCATGGTTATCAATGGACGCAATCAATTCAATTCAATCTAAATTTCAATGATAAATAAGAAAATAGATACATTGTTTAATATACATTTATCGAGGGAAAAGTTAGAACTCGAATGTAATGATATTTCAAAATATTAAATTTTATTACATGAATAAGAAAACAGAAAATATCGACTTTATTAGCAAGGTTATGAAGAGAACATCTTCGACGATTAGAAATCGTTATAAGTTCATGAGAAATCAAATTTATTGCATTTTATTTTTCTTTTAACGTTAACACATCTTTATCAGCAATAAGAATATTTTAGTTGCTTTAATTTATTTAGGATGTAGATGTGAATGTGAGTCTTCTCTTCACTCACAAAAACATTCTTAAGGAATCAAGTGTTGAAAATATGAAACTCAATGCAACTCGAAAAGCATAAAAGTAATACAGAATGCACTACATTTCTATATGTTTTCTCGTAGACTCTTCGAAATCGCTCAGTTTCATACTACGACTGATATCAAGTCTCATAGAGATGAAGAGAATATCGATCGCATCCATAGTCTGTTGATGACACATGATGATTATTTTAACGAAGTTTTAATTTATTGAGAGGTATTAAAAAGAAAGTTGGTCTGAAAGAGAATTATTGCTCATTAAAATGCTCTGAAAATTTCAACAAAAATGACTACATCTTTGGGAAGATATCGATTTTTGAAATAAATCTTATTGTTGTGTTCCTCTCGTAACATTTGGCATCGTTTGAAAAAGTGACACTTCGCAATAGATACATTCATTTGCGATGGCTCTTTTGGAGTAATAGTCTTTCTGGAAAAGTCTGGTTTAAACAGTTATCAATCATAACTGATACACTTTGAGCATGAATCTTTTTCATAATTTTCTTAACCTTTATACAATACAGTTGCAGTTTTAATGACAAACTCAGCGACATTCGGGAATTGTTAATATTATATTATAAAAAGAAAATTGAACAGAACTCTTGTTCTCTAAAGTTTCTATTTCTAGTAGTTTCTATTAAAATAAAATACACTATTTCGTCTAACTAAGGGTTCTCTATAGTTATCATTTTTCAAACGCTAAGGTAAATACAAACTGATAACCATTACTTTTGAGCCATCATTTATTGTGAATTTTCGATCGATTTCTATGCTCGAATTTTTGAAGTGAAACTGATACAAAATTCATTATTAAGTAAACATGATTATCTGACTTTCAAAATCACGTCTTTTTTTCGAAAAAATATAATCTATGAAAGTCATGTTTAATGTCCATTAAGAACAAATTTTTTGAAAGCAGTCATTCTTTGTGATTTGTCGACAGTCGTGATTGTTTTTCTTCAACAATGTTCATTGTAATATGATTTTTAGACAAAGCAAAAACAAATAAAAATAATAAGAATGTCAAAGAACAAGAAGAACATTACTGTTCTCAATTAATTCGATTTGGTTCATCGAAATAGTAATGCATACATGTGGTTTTGTTTCACTGTTTTTGTAACAAAATCTGTGCTTTTATTGTGTTTGTGTCGGCAGAGAAATTAAAATTCAAGAAAATTGTAAATTTCAGTCGTACAAATAAAAATTTGACGTTCCCTTCGCTTTCAATGTTGATTTCTACTAGGAAAAGTTGGAAATTTTCCAGAATTTCAATTTCTTTTGTAATAGTAATTTTTGGTTTAGAAAATAATGAATAACTTATCGAAAAAACTTAAGAAAAATGAAATTATTTGTTTTGTGGAAAAACGACTGCACTTCTCACAGCAGAGTTGGAACCGGACAGGTTTTTTCTGTCCGGTCCGGTCCGACCAGCAACCGGCCGGACGAATTTTACAGCCAAACTGGAAAAAATCCGGCGAAAATAGCCGACCATAAAAGTATCTGTTCACATAAAATGTTGGCGAAGGGAGAATTGAATATTCACATGCAGAAATCCGAACCAGGGGGTGATCAATTTACATTTACGAAAAATTTATAAATCCAAAAATAAATTTTAAGAAATTGAAATTTAAAATAAATTTTAAAAAGTTTTATTTAGCTTGAATTTAAATTGGATTTACATAAATTTAGATTTTGTAAAATTATTTAAATTTATGTAAATCCAATTTAAAATTATAATAAATTAACAGTAGATCGTCACTCCTAATCCGAACTGAAAATGAAAATTGGAACTGAAACTCTCCTTTCATATTTTATAGCAAGGTGCGTCAACTTGCCGAGCCCAACATCGATATAAATTAGCTATTCAGGTCAAATCTGTTTTTCATCTTAATTTCAAAACAGAAAAAAAAGCAAGTTTATAACAAATCTAACGCAAAAACGTAAATATTTATTTTTCTTGATTCAGGCAGCTGCCTAAATAGAAGAAGAGAATAAATTATTTGATCAAGATTAAACTGAGTAATACACGAGAAAGAAATCGATAGAGATGTAAAGAGAACAATCAGTCGTTTATAGTCAAGTTGAAGATAAGATATCTATTGAGTTTTTCGGAAATACATTCTTTTGACTTGAAAATATCATAAAAAAGCCGTTTTCAGTAGAGAAAATTCTTGGGTGAAAACAACAATTTTGTAATGATGAACTGGCAAAAATTCGGTCCTGTCCGGTCCGGTCCGGTTTAACTTCTTGCCCGGTCCCGTCCGGCCGGACCGGAACTGGATTTCCGGACCGGTTCCAACTCTGCAGTAGACCCCTGTTTGGATATATTGGCTGGAACTTTTAACTTTCTTGTGTCAAAAGCGTCAGTTTTTATAAGATGAGTTTCTTCATTGTTTTTACCTTTAAAAAGAAACATGAGAACCACCTAAAGATTAGCTTCCAAATGACTAAAACAGGGCATGATGACGCAGTTACGTAAGAAAAACTGAGAGTGAAACAAATCTCTATTCGTCCAATTTACCTTCACGTGCGCTCTCATCTCACTATCCCTGTCATCTATGTTCTTTGTTTCAAAAAAGAAAAAGACAAATGCGTCAATATTCACTGATTCTGCGATTAGCTAAACAAATTATCACAAACAAACTAGTCAACAGAGTATCGTTGAGGTAAGGACTTTGTACCTTGATAAAAACGATAATGTTTTCGAGCGCAAGATTTTTTTCTCGGATTTTTTTATTTATTTGAAATTTTTATCTCAAATATTGACCAAAGCTCTTACCTGTCTTGAATTTTCATCAAAAACATAAAGCATATTACATTTTTTCAACATACACTTCATTGCTGATCAAGTGGCAAGTACGAATACAACTCGCTGAGATTAGAGTCCATTATTAATCATTTCTTTTCATGACTATTCTCCTTTCCTAACAAGCACTCAATGAATAATTACGAAAACACGTCAACACGATAGATAACCTATTGTTAGTTGTTTTTTTCTCAGTTCTTATCAGTTTAATGTTAAATACGCAGCTATATATTTATTTCGATAATGGTTTGAGTGCTGACTTTGGAGTTTGTTTGTCTCTTGTTGAAAATATGACACAACGGGGAAATGATAGGCGTATGTTGTCGCATCGGTCATTGCCAACAAGATTCTTCAGACTATCTATTCAGTTTACTGCATGTCAGGCGAATAGATAAAGTTGTATAAAAATGGCAAGAACAAAGAAACCTGACTAGAATATTATCGTTTGCTCCAGAAAATTCCATTTATCATTGTATATATTTGTTTGTGTTTATTGAAGATAGACGACAGAATGAATACGATATTTTTTACATGCATCTTTCTGCTTACTATTTCGAATTTATCACACGCCGCTCATATTCGACATGAATGGAAGCTTCACTATGCAACATACAACCCCGATGGTGTGTATCGTACAGTCATTTGTATTGATGATGGTTCAGGCAAATTCAAATATCCTGGTCCAACTATTCGAGCTCAAAAGAATGACATCATCGAAGTCATTGTTCACAATGAATTACCAACCGAAGTAACATCAATCCATTGGCATGGTGTACATCAATTAAATACGCCATGGATGGATGGAGTTTCTTACACAACACAATATCCGATTCTACCACTACATTCATTCAACTATACATTCGTAGCCAGTCCTGCTGGCACACATTGGTATCATTCACATACGGGAGCTCAGTACGCCGATGGTCTCTATGGTATTCTCATTATCGAAGATCCTAATGATCCGTATAAACAGTATCATGACATTCCTCTTATCATGACCGAATGGTTTCATCGCTATGCCATCGATCAATTCGATATTCTTACCATTCATCCGACGGTACACCATCATAAATTTCCACATTTCGTATCTGGTACTATGAATGGAATGGGGCGCTATAATTGTTCACTAATCGATCAGTCACTGCTGCTGCTCAATAAGACAGAAGAAGAACAAAATCAACTAGGTGATCAACTTCTCTGTATATCAAACCGACCTTATGAACGTTTCACTGTGGTTTACAATGAAACCTATCGATTTCGCCTGATTGCTGCTGGTAGTGAATTCAATTACAAATTTTCAATAGACAATCATGAATTAACGGTAATTGCGATCGATGGTGTGTACGTCGAACCATACAAAGTTCAACAACTCTGGATTTACATCGGTCAACGATACGATGTTCTTGTCACTATGAATCAACAATCGTCCTTAAGTGCTTATTGGATTCGAGCAGCTACTACAGCAAACGATAACGACCAATTTTATGCTATTTTGCATTACAATGGTACAAAAAATGGAACTGCTGAACCACCATCATCAGTTCTTCCACAGTATCAAAATTTCTTGCTTAATTCCATGTCACTCATACCTTCGAGTGCCAACACTGACTTCTCGCTCAAACCACCAGACTTTAGCGAAACGTTGACTGTTCCGATCAACTGTGAGCCCGAAGCACATCGCTGTACAGTCAATTCGGTTAGCTATAAAATGCCACGTGAACCATCATTGTATACACTGTACACACGTGGTATTCAACCAGGAAATGCGGCCAATGTGTTCAATTTGAAACTGAACGATCATGTCATGATTATTGTAAATAACTTTCAAAATTTTGGCCATCCATTTCATCTTCATGGCCATTCTTTTTATGTGCTTGGTGTGGGCAAATACAATGCATCTGGTACTGGTGGGCCCACCATATTCGATCCCGTACGTGATAGACACACGCTCAATTTTATCAATCCACCCTATCGTGATACCGAACAAGTGCCTGAATTGTCTTACATAGTCATCGGTTTCATTGCCAACAATCCAGGTTCATGGCTCTTCCACTGTCATATTGCTTGGGATATGGAAGCAGGTATGACAGCAGTCTTCAATGTAGCCGCTGATCGAATTTCACCACCACCAGCCGATTTGCCTATTGTGATCAGCTATCAAAATAGAAATAGTTCAAGCAATAAATCTCAGTCGATATTGACTGTGTTCTTGCTAATCATCTCTGTTTATATGTGTAACTCTTGAAAACGGTGTTCATCACTAGGAATTCTTCTACCATCAAAGCATTAAGCCATAACGATTGTTATTTCTGCATTTTTTCTTTTCCTATTCGATTAAATAAATTGAAGCTTTCACAAACAACTTTTAGGCCTTTTTTCTACTGTAGGTAACAGCAAAGCTAATCAGGAGAATAATTCACTAGCAACGTTTTACTTGAAATCAGGCAGAAAAGAATACGACAAAGCATTTTAAGATGGGATCAGCTGTGTATGATGTTAAGTCGATTGACTGATGGATATGCATCCCTTTCGAAGTCTATTTTGATATCAAGAAGAATGCACTAGCAAATATGATTTCTTAGCATGAAGTTGATCTTATTGCAGTTACATTCTGAACGAAACATTGGACTGATTGGGCCATGAAATGAATTTCTGGTGAAATCCGTGATATGTGTGAAGTTTGATAGTACTTCGTTTTTCTTCTAATTCATGTAGGGCGTGAGTGAAAAGATACTGTGAACCCTCACGTCATCCACTCACACACCCATATAGTCATGAAAACAACTACACATGTATACATTTCTTCTATAGCTATCAATCTTAACACACGTCAATAGAAACTGAGTTTTTTTTCTTTCTTATTGAAAATACAAGCAATAATTGAACTAGTAGACTTTTCATGAACATGAACCCTATAGATTTTCTACTGAGGATCTATTGTTCATTTGAATTATTCAATTCGTCGTGATATATGATTTTACTTCATTGACTGATTTATTGAAATATATCAATGAATTGACACTAAAAGATAATGCTGCAAATAAGTCTTTAGATTTCACACATTGAGAACAATGTCTATTGGATGCATATTGGATAGTTTGAAAAGACGTTTTTCTGAAGAATAAGTTCATTAAATCAGTTTTATCTAAGTTTTAAACTATGATCAATTAATCGATGTTGTCTTTAAATTAATAATTATGTTTTTACCTTACGTCTGTCCTAATATAGCATTATAGTATAAATTTCTTTCAATCAAAGTACAAAGTACGAAAATAACTTAACCCACACATCTATAATTGATTCTATAGTAGTCTAAAATCTACAAGAAAATTCTTATTTGAAATTATTTCGCAACAAATAAATATTATTTTTTTAATGTTTCAAGTGCATTTAGTGCATGCCGTTTACACTCTAAAAAGAAAGAGATGCAAACTTTTGACAATAAAATCAATATAAAATGAAATGTCTAATGAGAGGTATGACTAGAGACGTGCGACAAGACTCAGTTTTTTGGTCTCGGTCTCGAGAAAACTATTCGAATCATATCTAAAATAATTCTGCAACACTCGTTTCAATTTTTTTATTTAGTCGACGACTAACACTTCTTAGATCATCTCTCTTGAGTTCCCGAAAATGTTTCTCTCATTCTCTCGATAAAGTTTTATCTATTGATTCGACACATTTCTAGATATGACACAAAAAAGATAAAGTTGATCAATGATTATTAAAATACAATCATCAGAGAAAAATCTGACGTTATTAATAAATAGCTGACTACATAGTTCGAACCGCATCAAATTCTATAATAAACAGTATTATTTGATCTTACCTTTTAGAATAAAAATAACTATAAGTGATTAGATACTAACATTTATGAAATATTAACTCAAACATTCTCTTCAATATATTATGATATTGATAATAGATCCATTCTTTCATTAAATATCTCTCGAATGGGTTAACAAAGAAAGACAATTGTTGTAACATCTTATATAACTTTTAAACTATTTTCCTCTATTGGATCATGTATATATACTTTTTTAACGCAATCAAATATTGTTGAATTGTTTATTCACAAATACTTTTTTTCATATAATAGCACTATCAACTGCCTATCGATTCTCTTTTTCCGATAAATTCGAAGGAAAAACTAGAATATTTTTTGACAATGTTTTTTCATTATGATATAATATTATATCAATAAAATTTTATTGATTTCGATATGACAAATAAAGTTTTACAAAATTTAATTGATCAATCCATTTATTTAAATTAACTTTGAATAAATGGAATATAATTGTATTTACGTTAAAATGATTTCAATATTTTGATATATGGCTAGTCATTTTCGTTGTCTAATGGTCAAACTCACTTTCATGTACCACTAATTGACTATTGCCAAATACATATCGAAATGAACTGAAACGATTAAATTTTCAATATTCTTAAATTAGAATAAATTAGAATTTGTTTTAAATTTTAAGATAAATGAACTTAGCTAATAAAATTATATTAAGATGTTTATTGGAGACATCTAAGCAATACATTATATAAATAAGATTGTGTCGAATACATGACTAGTTCTCCTATGAACTAGTATATACGATTTAATATTCAATTTGTTATATTATAGATACTTATGTTCTTGGTAATTAAAAATGTATACAGATAAGTATTGTTTTACATTTTTATTAGTTATTATAGAAACGTTTGCAATTGATTTTTATCCTAGTTTAATTAAGAATGAGGTTAATTCTCTTTAATAATTGTTGCCTACACTCTAGATCTTAGTTTATTATTATTCAATATTTATGAATGTTAAACAAAAATTTGTTAGCACAATCTTTGTTTCCATTAAATTATGTATCACGAAGTAGCTGTTGTTGCCATTCAAAAGAAGTTTGTTTTCTTTTATCTATCTTGAAATATATTTCTTCGTCATCTTTTTACATAAACCTAAAGAAATGTACTAAGCAAATAATTCATATGTTATCTATATATAGTCTTTAATCCTATATAAACAACGTCTGCCATGTCTGCAAGAAAAAGACGAAGAGAGATGGGGAGAAAGGCGAGGATTCAAATTTCTATCTCTATACTTCAACATTCCTTTTAGATCGAGTTTCACAAAATATTTACTGGAAGTATATCCAATTACACGTTTCTTATAAGAAATAAAAAGAAAAGGATTCGTTTGAGTTTCACTTGAAAAAAAAACAATTGTCAAAGGTATAAGTAATTGACTCTCATCCACAACTTTATAAATCACATAAAAACTCATTGCTATGAGCTCTACTAATTAAAATTGACTTTATATAAGTAGTCAAAAATATTCTCCGTTCATCAAAAGCTGTTAAGCCATATTCTTCTATTAAAAACAATTCAAAATAGCCTGCAATTAACTTATTGAAATAAAATTTAAACAACTTCATGAATGTGTATATTTGTATATCAGAATAGTATCAAAGTATATGTGTCAGGATAAATTAAACACAGTTTTTAACCAATTTCATAATTCACCAAAATCGAAAAAGAGAAGAATAAAGAAATGAGCTTACAATATTAATTTCTGTTTAGTTTTAATTCAAAGCTAGTGAAATCTAGAAAATTGTTGAGTTTACCACTGTTCTCTATTGAAATTTAGTTTTTCTCAACATGCTTCTAAGAGAAAAACAAAAAAAAAACGGGACAACATCTGTGAGCTTCTGCTTTTTTATTAGTATTTTTATTGTGGTCTATTGGTCTTCGAATTTTACATGGTTCCTAAATGATAAGTAAAGTCGAAACTTATGATGCTGTTAAGTTAGGTAGAATTATTTTCCAATTCAAAAAAAAATAAAGAATGTTTTAGCTTATGTAATCTTTGTGATAGAATATTAACTGTTTTCTCTATAAACCTTATACTATATATATTTTGAAAGTAGACTTCGTCAATATTGTCATGTAGCATATATTTTTTTAATTTTTGATCTTAGCATTATTCTAATTAGATTTCATCAATATATAATAATATTTTAATTAATCTTATGATTAAGAATAATATTCTGCCATTCATTTTAGGTAGAGAAAACATTAGATAACACTAATAAAAATTTTTCATAAAAGATTTTTTGAAATGAAGAATATTTATTTAAAGTTCAATTAAATTAATATTAAAGTTAATTGTTTCATTTTTTTCCAATAGTTGAAGAAAGAATAAATATCTTTCAAGTTTTTAGTTTTCTTTTATGGTTTATTTGATGATGTGATTGCAAACAACATCAGGAATTTTCTTTTGGTCTCTTCTCTTGTATTTGTCTTATAGCAATTTGTGCATTATCTTTAAGCTTTTTTTGTTTCGGCTACTGTACGAAATTTTCGTAATAGTGTTCAAATAATTTAATTTAGGCGTTGCAAATTTAGTTGCAGCTCTTTTTTTGTAAGTATTGACAGTTGTCTTTGTTAGATTTCTTGGTGAAATTTCATCTGTTCTTAGTTTTCTTCAATGGATTCAATACTTCAGCATAAATCTTTATGGTTCAAATGCACTTTTAATCAATGATTTTATTGGTGTATTAAATAAGCAAATAAATTAAATAAGTTAATTCAAATCAAATATTTATTTATTGGTAATGACTTCTACTCTTAACGAATATAAATACATGCAGAACCTCTTTCTTTTTTGCATTTCAATGGATTGATTTTCAGTGATTTTCATTTACAAAAAATAATGAATAAATATCAAAAGTAACCAAATTAGTTTCTTTTTAATTTTTTTATTTCATTTTATTAAATACATGATAAACAAGATATGAGTATCCAGCTTATGTTGACGTGAAGGAACTATATTTATGAATGATTGTGGATGTGAATGTGGGTGAAGGAAACACAGCACATCCTCATACCCACACCCATAGTTATCAATTAACAACTTTCAGCTCGTAACCAGAGCTTAGTACAGGATAGCTTGGAACACCAGAAAAGACTGCAGGTTAACTCTTTATGATTAAAGAAACAATCATATAGAATGAAGAATAACAGATTTCTATTTACTTTTGACGATGTACTATGTAAAATGTTTTCTCTGCATTTTTTTCCAACGGATGCACATACAAAACAAATGAAAAAAAGATACACATATGTATAGTTCGTGTATACGAGGCATCAATAAGTTTTCACTTTTCATTTCTATACGTGAGCATTCTTTGTTCCTCTGTTTATATACGTATCATTTTGTATTGGGTGCGGGTATAGGTGAATGAAAGA